ATTCCACAGTATGCATCCGATGAAGTGAGCTGTAGCTCACGAAAGCTTATGCTCAAATAAATTGGTATGCATCCGATGAAGTGAGCTGTAGCTCACGAAAGCTTATGCTTAAATAAATTGGTTAGTCTCTAAGGTGCCACAAGTACTCCTTTTCTTTTTACATAAGAGTGTGTGTGTGTGTCTAGGCTTCTTTACAATAAATATGAACACAAGGCAAGGTCTTTTAAAATAGACACAACATGGGTCATATTCAAAAAATAATTGAAGAAATGGTCTTAGTAAATTTTCTCATGAGTGCTAAGTATTATTCATGTTTTGGCAAAATAATTATCTGTGTTTTTCATTAGAAGGTACAATAGTTTTCCACCATCTGGATTACCTAATCTTGGTAGAAAATTAATATATCATACAGCAATTAAGTACATTACATTTTCCCTTTTATCATTTGTGAACAGTGGAACAGATTATTGGCTTTTAAAGTAACAAAATTAGTTGTTTCTTAAAATTATGTCATTAAAACTTCCCCGTGTGCCAAATCCGCTCTGAAGGGTCAGTATCTGCAAGAGCTTTCTATGTAAGTATTAACAGAAGGTTAATAGATTATCTTAATTTATCTAAAGGCTTGAATATTTCTTAGTTCATAATAATCCCATTTTACATACAATGTAAATGGAAACAGAATAGTATCTCTTCACAGCAGTTGCACATGATTGTACTAGATTTTTCTGAAACATTGGAATTGTCCATTTATAACTCTTTGAAAATCCAGGGGTATTTAAGAGTCAGGTCATAATGCAGCTGTGACAAGACAATTATTTTTACAATGGCTAAAGTCAAGCTAACAAATTCTGAGGCAGAAATGTAGTTGCCTGTTCACTGCACCAAAATCAAAGGAAATAAAGAGGAGGAAAATAAAAGGCTGAATGGTTTACACAACCTTTAAATTAAAATATAAGAATCGGGAATGTTAAAGCTGTCCTTTTACTTCTGGTATGCTGAGAGGGGCAGGAAAAGATTTAATTTACAAAAAAATTAAAATAAATAAATCTCAAATGCAGCTGGTAAGCCAAGCTTAGGGCCACGCCAGCCTCTAATGTATTCTATTTTAAGAAGCCTATTTAAAAGGCACTGATCATCATGGTATCTAGAACACGAGTTTTCATGTGACACACAATCGTTGGCATGTTTCAAGCACTTTTTGTATCCTGGTTAATTCTTGTAACCAAGCACTTTATTGTCATTTATGAGCATTCTGCTTTCACTGTACAATTAGAAAGTAAACTTTACCAGAGTGCTTATTTTGCAGGGATGCAGGAAACAATTCTAAAGATCAGAAGGACAATATGAAAGTTAGTATGTAGAGGCAGACAATGCAACTGGGAATTAATCAGCTAACTTCCATTTGTTCCTTTAGAAATCTCCGGGGTAATGTTTAAGGTAATGAAGGCAACATTTAGGTATTTGTGTAATGTAATTTCTGTAATGTCCCAGTGAATGACAAATGTTCACTCAAATTAATTAACCAGCCTAAAGTACACACCAACTCCCCAATTTCCTTCAAAATGTTCCTTCAAAAGAAACTGTCTGAAATAAAGAGGCAGTACAAAAGCAATGGAGGTACAGGGCCTGATCCAAAGCCCATTAAAATCCAAGGGAATTTTTCAATCCACAATATTGAGCTTTGGATCAGGCCCCAATGACTAAAATATCTATTAGCAAATTAACATGAATGAAGAAAACAGTTATTAGAACCCCTTCCTTTTTAAATAATAAGCTAGCAGAGCTCCATCTTGAGTTACATGTCTGATTAATTCCTAGCTAATGCTAAAATTAATGTCAAAAATGGTAAACCTGAGATTCATGCTTCAGTGAAAATGGACATATTAACTTGGTCTGAAAAACTGATGTATAAAATAAACACTTATCACAATTGTCACTAAAATAGTTTAAATTAATTTGCCTTGCCATGATACATACCACAAAGCAAACCTGTTTGGTCTACCCCTGCAAACCTCTGTTAAATGCCCACAATAATATATTCAAATATAGATATATATGTACAGAAGTCAGGAAATTCCAAGTATGATTGCATTATTTAATGTTTTGCTTTTCTCTCTGTTAACTTCAATGAATATTAACTGGAGGGGCAGGGGTAGAACCCTCATCAATAAGCAAAATGCATTTTACCAAATTTTCACAAAACATATGTCAGGCCTTTCAACATGCAAGGGAAAACAGGAACTAACAAGTCCACATCCTCAAATATAACCATAGTTCTTGTAATGTGACACTATAAATATGGGACCATCAATGCTCGATGATGGCAAGCAAGAAACCTTCTGTTTAGCTCCTGATCCCTGGGCTCTCTTGGGACATGACAAAGGTGAAGACCTCTGGATACGCAATAGGTTAGAGTAACAATCTATAAGCCACAAGCTTACACAACAACATGACTAAGTTTATTAGAACTGGGAGGGTTACTGCTCAGGTGCTATGGTAGTCCAGGCTTGCAATTGAGGTAGGCAAAGGCAAGTTTACTCAGAGCTCCACTGATTAGACCTCCAGACAAACTGGAAACTCCTTTGGAGACAAAAGTTAAAATGTACAGGAGAAGACTGGCATGTAAAACCTCAAACCTCATCCTGCCTGGGCCTTGAATTCTGCTTCCTAACAGTGATCTGCTAGGACAGGTAAGTCACAGGAAATGCCAGAAAGCTGAGCATGGTTATGGGCTGACAGCCAGAGCCTGAGACCAAATATTAAATAATAGCAGCTGTGAAACTGACATTCTTGTCAATTTCACAACTAATAGGCTCCCTGTTGTGAAACTGAGCCCCAACCCACTCCAACTGGCAGCCCCAGGGCGGAGGAGCTTCAGCTGTGAGCCCCAAGTGGCTGTCAGTACCCCTTACTCCAGCTGTCAGTGCCTCACAATGCCCCACTTCAACTGGTGCAAGCACTCATTGTGAGGACACACACAACTGGCACAAGGAAGTATTATGGACACCAACAGCCAACAGATGTAATTACTCCGGTGGCTGTAAGTCGAGCTAATTTTGTATGTAGACAAGCCCTTACTATAATTAGTAAGGACCCCTCCACATGAGTAAAACACATCCTTCTCTTCTAGTTACCCTTGCAGTACATGGTCATAAAACACAGAGACAGACAGACATGATTAAAGAATGAAATTAAAAAACTAGATTTAAATTAAAATTATGGAAACGTCTTTTCACAGATGAAAGAAGTGTATACTTTTTAAAATGTTGTCTATCATTTAAAACCATAAAATTAAGATGGCCCAAATAATGATATAATCAGCTGCAAAAACACTGATTTGCCAAAGAAAAAATTTTTTAAACACCACACCTGTTCAACTTCAATTCAAAGTATATTTCCCTTCTTTCATTCTAGCCTTGAATCCAAAACAAACATTTTACATTAAAATTTTGAATTGGCTGCCACCTTGTGGTATTCTCTATGGAACATCAGATTAGATTTATTCACTGTAAATTGCTCAGTACATGTAAGAACTAGATACAAGGGAGTGGAATAACATACACTTTTCTCTAGCGCTTATTATTTGTAATACAGTAGAACCTGGAGACCCTAGGACTGTCCCTTTGCTAACCGTTGTGTAAAAAAATTAAAAACACGTACAAACTTCAAAGGAACGTTTCATAACAAATCCTGCATGCTCAGACTTCAATCAACCTTTTTCCATTGTCCCTCAGTGCTGGAAAGAGTTCTGCTCCTCTCTGTCCTAACAAGGGAAGCACTTGTGAATTTCTTTAGGTCATAAATTATGTAACAGTACCCTCATGCAAGAGGTCCTATTGCTATGGCAGCGAGAAGCAGGTGTCTCTTTCTAGCACTGAGGAAAAGGGTTGATTGAAGCACACAAGTGTATAAAACTTGCTTTAAATTGTGTGAGAGAACATACACTTGTGTGAACACCAGTGTACAGCTTGCAATCTAAAAAAGTTCACAAGTGGTTCTATACATAATATTCTGAAGCAGGGATCTTAACGTCTCACTGAGCTACAGCTTTTGAGCGAGCAGGGGAAGGAAAATTATCTGAGTGCTGAAATGGTCCGGGCAATGGAACAGCGAGCCTTCTCATGAGTTATATAGCTTGAGATTTGTACTGCCACCCAATACAGTAGTACTGAAGCACCTTCCACAAAAAACAGATTGACAGAGAGGTCCCTACTGAACTTCATGGAACATCTGGCTCTTCTCTCTTTTTGCGTTATAAATAGCTCTGCATGGGACAGTTTTAAGGTATCTCCTCTAGAAGTTTATTATACAACCAGCTTCCTTCAGCTACTATCTCCTCTGCTTCCACCCCCAATCATCATCATCAGGCCCCTCCTCCAACCCTTCCTTCAATCAGGAAGTAAAGTCAAATTCTGAGAGAAATCTGAGGTCAAAGGATACGCAAACTGATTTTTTCCTCATTATTAATTATCAAAAGGAACTGGAGATTTAAAAATTTGTGGGAGGATGAGAATGAAATGTAAGAGCAACCCTTTAGATACCACATAAAACAGTATACATATGCTTACAACACATTTTTCTTCATCTCATCCAATTACGAGATTGCTTTTTAAAAGAGCTTCACCACTTTCAGTTAAAAAGGGGCAAAAGTCAGTCACACAGTTCTGAAGTTATTCTTGAGTTGTTAGTTCACTAAAGTGTTTTCTGATAGGTTGCTATCACTGTATCAGTGAAATTATGCCATTAAATATCCTCCCTCCCCAAACCTATGCTGAAGCATAAAAATCTCATAAATTGTAACAATTTGCACTAGTTAAAATATTCCCTGCCACTACTAGTGGTAGAGGGTCTCTCTTAAAGTTTTGAATGAACTCAAGCCTTCTTAAATTATTTACTTCCTTTTGTAAATTGTCAGAATCATCCTACAATGTTAGAAAATGTTAAAAAGACTGGAGAGTTGCTGAGTGGCTTCTTATGATTTGACATAAGAAAATATTTACCTTGCTCTGAAGTTGCTGTGTTTTCCACTGGCAGCTCATAGTCATGGCACCTTTTCTCTGAAGCAGGCACTGCAAAGAGGCTTCCAGAGGCCCACAAGTTCCCACTAGTAACACCTTCTTTCCATCTATGGTTTTAACTGCTTGACAAAAAAAGCCATCAGTCAGTTAAGCTGTCTATTGTAGTAAAAGACATTCACTACTAAACTTCATTGGAGCACAGATGTCCATGTAAGTGGACTTTCTGCTATTTGCCTTACTAAGAGACAAGGTTTTTAATTACAAGAAGCACTATAAAAGGGCTCCATATGCTAGTAAATTTCTGATCATTGTGATGTTGAAAATGCCATACGCTTGTCTCTGGAAGAACTAACACAAACCCAGATTCCATTTAATTCAGCAATATGTACTGAACATTCACACTAATAAGGGTAAGATTGTCACTTGTCTGGGTTTGTCTGCATATAATCCTTTAATTTATCCAGTTGTAACCAGGTACTTCACCATTTTATTTAAAATTCACCTACTTTTAAAGGACAGTTGCTTCCAAAATTCAGAAGCGCAATGGGATAACAGACTGCTTTTGAATGATTGATTTAAGCCTTGATAAAAGATGTTAAAAAAAAAAAAATTGGGGGTTTACAGGTAAAGTCATCTGCAATTTCAATGTTACCAAATATACAATGTCACCCAAAACAAAAGAGCCATTCATTACTAATCTACAGGAAATTTTTGATTTATCCAAATTTTTGTGTTATCCAAAATTCATCTCTGATCTCCTAGGTAAAATCTGTGTTAATTCTGTTTTTATAAAAGTTTCAGGTATTTCTGGAGACCTTATAAAATAGGTTTGCCTATAGAAGCATCCAAGCCAATAAAACGTGAGTCTATAGACAAAGGCCATGGTACTACTCCTAGAAACAGATCTGCAGTTCTGAATTCAGATCTTGCTGAGATTCTCCATCAAAAGAAGGAAGCAATGAGCTGTTATTTCAAATGTAAAATTAAGCAAGAAAAACTGAGGCTGTGTCTGTACATAGTAAAAAAGCAATAAAAAGCAAAACAAAACGAATAAAGTTTTGCTTTACAGTTCATCTCTATGTCTATAAAATGTATGTGTTCCCATAGAGCTGTGAGGGTCACTGGGACCACAGTCTTCATTTTACTTTCATATATTTTATAAAAGAAAACAAAAACCAGATCAAATGGGTGTTTGTAGGCTTTATTTATTTTAACTTGTTACCATGGTTTTTCAGGTGGCAAAACTACTACAGTGGATTTACATTGAGTTTACATGTTTAGTTTGTGCATATCAGAAAAAAGGATGAAGAAATACAGAACAAGACTAATGTATGACAAAAACTGAAAAAGAAAAAAAAAAAAATTAGGGGAAGATTTCACTACCAAGGATCTTATACAGGAATCTCACAAATCAACCAGAAAACAAAATCTTGTACTTGGCAATATTAGAAATAGAATTGCGCAAGACTGTCTTACCTATTTTGTCAAGAAGCTCCATCACAGCGCTGGCAGTGGGAGAAACTGAACAGTTGTAAGTATCTCCACGCACCAACCGTCCCAGGTTTACATCTGATACTCTATCAAGGAAAAACATGGAAACATATAGAACAGAATGTGTGTGAGAGATGTATTTTAATTAGAGCTTGCCCTATAGGTTACATCCTATGTGTTAAAATTCAGACTGCAAGGCTCATAGAACTAGCAATAGTATATGGTTACTAGATTTTTTTAATCTCTAAACTGCTATATCTAGCACTACTCCCAAGAGTTTAGATTTCAAACAAACATAGAACCATCAAGATAGATAAAAGAAGGGGAACAAGGGCTATTAGAAATAAAATGAGCGCAAGACAATTTGTCACATGTTCAAGTAGAATAAGAGGGAAACAAAGAGGGGAGGAAAAACGGATACAGGAGCATCTGTCAGGGGTGGATGGAAAGTTACATAAAAGCAGTGGAGGGTTTAAAGATGTTTGGAAGTACTCAGGATATCTGATGCATAGGAAGGAATGTTATTCCAGAAGACTGGAGCGTGTGAGAAAAGGCAAGAGTGAGAGGAGGAGACAAAAGGAACAAAATGGTAGGGCCGCCCAGGGTAGTTGCTGTAATTTAGACAGGACCCTAGGACTGTTTAAGTTATGCCAGGGCCTTTCCAGCCCTTGGAGCGGTTCAGGATAGACTGAGAGGGTGAAAACCTGTCTTAAAACTACCTTAGACCCATGCCCCCTTTAGAGGTTCAGCAAAAACCCTCACCTTGGAGCTTTCTTTAAAAATGCTGTCAATTAAATTAATAAAAATGATAACCACGCAGGACTGGACTACCTTAACACTGAATGAAGAGAATAAAACTGAGACATGGTTTTTGTTGCCTTTAAGTACACTACTTCTCAGGCTTACAGTTAGCAAAGATTAAAGCACAATGCCATCAAAATGATTTAAGCAGACACCGTGTGCTTGATTTTATAATCTTTTGTCCACATTTAATGACACAGTTAAACGCAGTGACTGAGGAGTCCATTCGTGAAAAGCAATGGGGAAAATAGATTTTTAGAGCCATAAAACTTGTATCTGCTCTGGCTACCTCTTACTACTTAGCTTACCCATCCACATCCTTCTCTGGTTTTACTGCATTTAATATTTTGGTGCTGTATGCATTTTCAGAGAGGTGAAGGGCAATGCCGTGAACCGTAGGATCTTCATTGAGTCTCAAGATTTCACCAACAATCTAGGAAGTTAATAAAATGCTTTAGAAGACAGGATAAAGTCAAAAGTAGAACATTATGAAATAAAAATGGGTTGTAGCTTTAAATAATGCTTATAACACATGGCATTTGTCATCTGGCTATTTCTCTCATGGTTTAGCAGAAAGAGAAGCATGCAGCGAATCTGTGGAGTATACACACAAGGCTTAGTGAGTACTAAGTACATTAACAGTTATCCCCACATATGGAGTTGCAGGGGTATAACTGAGGGAATTTGTCCCCAACATTGCTGAAATGATGGTCAACAGATAAGTGTATGTAAAGAGACCTGTTCCACTATGAAGGAAAAGGGAAGAGAGCTTAATTATGATATTTAAAGGGCAAGGACACAGAATAAGACCCTGCAAAAACAATTTCCATTAGCCATATTAAAACCAAAAACAAAACTAACTACAATTCAGAACCATCAAGATGTTTACATGGCTAAAACTGTTTAACTGTGTGATTTTGTTGTGACCCTTGTCCTACCTTCCATTTCCCCATAACTCTACCTCCCCATTTGTTTATCACTCTCATTTCCTATAACACATCCAAAATAGAGATTGTAAACTCTGTGACAGGGAACACTCTTATTTGTTCTAAATAGCACCTACTAAACTTTTGGAGGTAGTAAAAATAAAAAATAGCAGTTGTGAAACCATTACCTGATACAACAAAAATTCACAGGATCATGACCACTTGTCAGGAATTCTAAGAACCTCAAAGGAGACATTCAGCTCAAATCAATGTACCACTAGCCTCGTAAGTCTGAAAAGCCACAACCCCATGTCCTCTAACTCATTGCTCTCATCCTCTTGCATCCACACAACCATCAAATCCTGTCAGTTCTTGCTCTCTGACACCTCTAAAATCCATTCATTACTCTCTATCACCAAAATCTTTATCCTGCAATCTTCCTAGCTGTCACAACCCACCTGCAATCTCCCATCTTGCTCCCTTCTACACTTAGGTCAAAATGGAGCAGGGAAAATATTCTGTGTACCATTTCATGTTAACTAACTCTTCCCCTACAACAGTCTTCTTCGTAGGCCCACTGATTGTTTTGGGCTTTGCTGCAGATGTCCTAGAATTTATCATTGTGGGATGTTACATTTTTATTCAGATAGCCCCAGTAAATCATGATATTCTTGTCTATGGCATGTTTAAAAAAATATTATAAGTTTTGAAAACTATGTCACGGACAAAAGACCAAGACACACACACCCCTAGGCCCTGTCAATGAAACAAGAGTTTTCATAATAATAACGTAGGCTTTTGCATTCTTGAATGACTATATCAAACTGGTCAGAGAAGTCTGTAGGACCTAGAAATAACAGAGGGTAGAAATTAGTTTTTATATTGATATCTATCTGCATGATGCAGGCCCATACAATCATAATTAAGGGGGAATCCAATACACTTCTATGATTGGTTGGTGGCCATCTTTAACCTCCTTCCCCACCTCCCCATGCAATTTATTTTCTATTTTAAATTATAAAAAGGGGAAAGCTTGTTTGCTCTTGCTTAAATCTTCTGTTTTTCCTTTTAACCTAATATATTATGAATTAAACCACTAGGTTTCCTTTGTAGCATTTTATAATGTCAGCATTTTATTTACATTTCACATAACACTCATTGTGGTGCAACGTTCTTCCATGTACTGAAATCCTGAATATTGAGAGGATTTGGTCTCTTACTGTGTAGAATCTTAGCAAAAGCTAGACACTATAACGGTTCCAAACAACATATTCAGAAGTCAAAGTTTAAACAAACGTGGTTTTGGACAGAAACCATCTAAAGAAGAATATGAAATTTGTTACAATAAAAGAGCACTTAAATGATCACAAGAGGGTTTTGTTTTTAAACTCATGTTTTTCAAAATATCAAGATCCTAATATACTTTAATGAAGTATAGCCTTCAAAACTATTTTTAAAAAACAAATTAGTTTTTGGTAAGACCACCAAAATAAATTTAAACACTTGTTTTTGGAACTCTGTGTGTTTGGTTTTTAAATATGGGTAGGGTGAAGACATGATAAACTAGGAACAAAAGAAAAAATACGTATTTTAAAAGGGAAACACATTTCCAGAAGAATTAAAATGACTGAATGTAAAGTTTGATTTAACAACCAATTGAACGTTTTTGTGCTCAGCTGGTGCAAATGTTGTTCTTCACCAAACAAAAGATAACCTCTGTATATAGGAATACGTACAATGATATCTAGTGCAGGAGGTGATTTTGATGTAACAAAATGACACTCAGAAAAAAAGTTTTATCTTCCCTTATTACGAAGTGTTTAACTTGATAATCTAAACTGGCCAAATAACAGACAAGTGATACAGCCACATATCCTTAAACAGCACAAGAAGCACAAAGTTGGGCCTCAAACCAAAACTAGAGGCCCAACTACTTCCAGACCTTTTAAGTGTTTATAAAACTTCGATACTGACCTAAATCTGGTTGAAACAATATTTTAGACAAAAACACTCCCAATCCAGATTTGAATTTTGTGTCTGAATCCATCTCTAATAAAAACATCTATATCAAACCTGATCCATTGTGATACATTCCATTTTCCTGTGGCTTCAAAAATTAAAACTTATACTGTAAACAAATTACAGTATTTCAAAATTTCCTTTTGAAAAAAGTTAACTAGCACACACTTCTTCATTACCTGGCTAAGCTGTATGTTTGTGCATCACAGAATCAAAGAAAATTTACTATAAAGTCATGTAATTTTACATTTATTTTAGCTCATATTTATAATGGAAAGTGAGGCTAGCACTAAGTAAGAGCTTGTGAAGACTACCTTGAAAATAAATTTTAAATAGCTTTAAAAAAAACCTGGCTTTTAAAAAATTATGTAAATTGTATGTACATGTAAAAGAAACTCTTGAGTGCACAGAGTCCTCACAGACCTCACCCTCACTCAATCAGGAGATCCACATTTGCTTCCAGACTCTGCAATGAACCTGCTGTGTGATACTAGGCAAGTCATTTAACCTCTCAGAGTCAGTTTCTCCATCTGTGAAATGGAGATAATGATACTGGCTGGTCTTTCTAAAGCAGTTGCAAGTTCTAATGAAGAAAAGCATTATACAAGTGCTAAACTTTTATTAATAATTATTAACACCTGATCATTTTGACATGCTTAATACCATTCCATATGACTATCCTATACTTCTAATCTTTTTACTTGTACTTTGTACTTTTTAAGTATACTTCAAACTCTCAAAGTCCATAATCGGATAAGCCTCTCAGCATTTCTGTGTGTCAAGGCTATATTATCCCCATTTCACAGATGGGAAAATGAGGCAGAGAGACGAAGTGACTTTCTCAAGGTTATCCAGGACATCTACAGCTGACCCAGGAAGAGAAACACACATTTTCCTATTTCTAGTTTGATGGTTCAGTCAGAAGATAATATGAAGTGGAGCATGAAAGTGCTGTGGTACTAGATAAACTTGTGTGAAGGATGTGGGGCTGATCCGTAATAATTTACAAATCCTGTATGTGATGGGGCTAGTGAGACAGTTAGTGGGATAGTATGGCTACACTGGGTTACTGGAATGTTTACTGTTTGCACATGTTGGATTAGTAGAGCTGTTAAGAAACTAGCCAGAAGACAACACAATGGCTCCCAATCAGCAACTTCCCAGTAAATGTGACAGGAATCATTGGGAGACAATGCCTGAGCTTTTAGCTGGGAAGATGCTATTTCCAGGCTCCAGCCATAGTTACAACACCCATGACAGACTGATGCAGAGTCTGCTGGAGGATCTGAAAAAGCAAAACCTGCCTGATCTTCTACCCCAGAGGTAGAGCCCTAGGGTAAGACAGACACGTTGTAGGCCTTCTGTTGTGTAAAATCTTTTTTCCTTTTATGTTATGCTCTGCTCCTGATATGATTAAACAGTATTTTGGTGTGAGGAAGCTGTTTGGTCACAATTCTCAAAAGGAAGACTTGTAGGTGCTAAACTTAGTTGGGCCTGCTGAGTAATCATGGTTAGTACATGGGGGGCTGTACTTAGGACTCAGTCCTAGAGTGGGAGAAATGTAGGATTCCACCCCTGGGCAGGTGACGGCAGGAGGCCTATTACCTGAGGGGGCTCTCAGAGAGATCAGAAAAGGGGACAGAGGTACAGTTATCCCTGTAATCATGACAGCCTGTATTATGGTTATGGGGTCCCTATAGTGTTTTAAAAAAACCTTTCACAACGTATAACAAAATTCTCTTCAGTGAGTTGTAATAACAAGCCCACCTGAAAACAGAACACACACCCTATTTTCTATTGAAATACATAATTCAGAAGATAAACGAAGTTAAGCATTTTTTTTTTACATTTGGGGCTATTGCTAAAATATCAGGCCATATACAAGCAAAACAAAACCATAATAGAGAAGCAAACAGAAAGAGAATACACAAGCGCTAAAGTACCATCTTTAAAAATACACCTGCCCGGAATAAGACAAATCCACATCTAGAGTTTTAAAATAACCTGATTCTGTGCAAATTAACAGCTGAAAGAGAGACAGCTGCTACTGCTATTTACCTCCATGGTTCACAGAATTCCTACTCAAAGCTTCAGAGTAACAGCCGTGTTAGTCTGTATTCGCAAAAAGAAAAGGAGTACTTGTGGCACCTTAGAGACTAACCAATTTATTTGAGCATGAGCTTTCGTGAGCTACAGCTCACTTCATCGGATGCATACCGTGGAAACTGCAGCACACTTTATATATACACAGAGAATATGAAACAATACCTCCTCCCACCCCACTGTCCTGCTGGTAATAGCTTATCTAAAGTGATCATCAGGTGGGCCATTTCCAGCACAAATCCAGGTTTTCTCACCCTCCACCCCCCCACACAAATTCACTCTCCTGCTGGTGATAGCCCATCCAAAGTGACAACTCTTTACACAATGTGCATGATAATCAAGTTGGGCTATTTCCTGCACAAATCCAGGTTTTCTCACATCCCTCCCACCCCCATACACACACAAACTCACTCTCCTGCTGGTAACAGCTCATCCAAACTGACCACTCTCCAAGTTTAAATCCAAGTTAAACCAGAACATCTGGAGGGGGGGGGTTAGGAAAAAACAAGAGGAAACAGGCTACCTTGCATAATGACTTAGCCACTCCCAGTCTCTATTTAAGCCTAAATTAATAGTATCCAATTTGCAAATGAATTCCAATTCAGCAGTTTCTCGCTGGAGTCTGGATTTGAAGTTTTTTTGTTTTAAGATAGCGACCTTCATGTCTGTGATTGCGTGACCAGAGAGATTGAAGTGTTCTCCGACTGGTTTATGAATGTTATAATTCTTGACATCTGATTTGTGTTACTCAAAGCTGTTTACCTCCATGGTTCACAATGGCAGAGGCTATGATTTCATATCCACAAACTTCTACCTGCTTCTGGGTTGTGTTACTCAACAGATGAGGTTCCCATTCATTATGAACACAGCAAACCGTATCTTGATTGTTGTTTGAAAGGTCTGGTTTTCTTAAATGGGTAACAGATTCAATGCATTATTTGTAAAAGCGGCTTACCAAAAATATTAAAGTAAGGATCCATAACAACCACAAGGTCGAGACAGAAAAATCTGTATCAGGAAGGATCCGTGTATGTAAGAGCTAGTTGTTATAGAAAGCACATTTGGAAATTATTTTTGAGACTTTACTAAAGTAAAATAAAGTAAAATTCTATTAATAAAATCCATGAAACACAGTATATGAAATCTACGTTTCTGTTGTGCTTTGCAACCCGGTCATTATTTAGAAAGTATGAAGGGTCTGGATGAATGTATTATCGACTGTATACCCTAAACTTCCCAAGCACGATGAGATGAGATGAGGAGAGGAAAGGGTGATAGCCTTAACTCTGAAATCCCTTTTTATTTTTAAATTCATTTGGCCCTTTTACAATGTTAATAAGAGGTTTCTGTATTTAATACATACAGGCCCAAATCCTGACCTCGGTTACATTAGTTCAGTGCCTCTGACAAAACTGTGCAACCAAAGTGAGAATTTGGTCACCTCTATGTTACCAAATGAAGGAATTTATTACTACTATTTTTAACATTACCTCTGGCAGTGATGTAAACAGCCAGTTATAAACATATTTAAAATAATTCTAGAAATAATATATTCAGTTTAGAAGTTTCTCTGGCTAAAACCTGATCTAATACAGTGAAGGAGTATATGTATTCTGGAGAGCATGGAGGGAAAAGAAACTGCATTAGACAAGATATCAAGTTAGGGTCCCAACTGTGAAAACTCTCTTTATGTAGAATTTCCACTGACTTCAACAGAAGTTCCACATGTGGAGTATTTGCAAGATTATACCCATGATGCACTCTGTTCTTATGGTTAAGGCACTAAACTGAGAACAAGGAGATCCAAGTTCTGTTTTCTGCTCTGACCCTTCCTATATATAGGTAAAAATGGGTAAATATTTGCCTACCTACACAGGAGTGCTAAGAGTATACGTTTATGTAATGTCTGGAAAGTGCTCAGAGGATTCAATGGTGATGAATGCCATAAATATAAATTTTAAACGTTTCCATTTGGTGTTATGATTCAAGTGTAAAGAAAAAGATTCCAACGAAGTGCTACAGTTACCTCATCTTCACTGCTACCCTGAGGAAGGCAAATGTGAATAACGTGCAGACCAATCTGCCAAGAGAAAACAAATATTTTAAGTTACTACAACAGTCAGAGGGCTCACAATTAAAATCAACCACATCTCCTAATCCTCACCTCTTTGGCAAAGTTCTGGTTTATTTCTTGCACCAAATCTTCATCACTTGCCTTAAGGGGACCAAAAAAAAAAAAAAAAGGCAGAATGTAAGTAATCTAAGGACAGAATTTGAAACCAAAGAGAATTTTATGATTATATAGGATTATATTTTAAGAAAAATTGTGTGCACTCTGATCCACAGATCTACAGAAAGAAGGTGCAGCGCAAACATTTCTCTCTTTTCAAGATGCTGGAACTAGGTATATTGCTGCACCCCCTGGCTTGAAGCAGTTTCCATCACATACAGGGTTCACAGTTTGGTTCAATGGCTCTCAGCAACCCCACTATAAAAACCCCAGTAGTGAAAGGGGGTTAAAGTTGCCCAGTCTATAGGAATCTGACAGAAGGCCAGCTTGGAATATTTATCTTGGCTTGGTATGTTGAAATACTTATCTTAAAGATAAGAGTTGGATGTTTTCCCTACTTTAAGCAAATTTGTTTAGTTTTTAGAAAAGGCACCAGTCCAACAATACTTGAAAGTGAAGTCATTTTTGAATCCCTATAACAGGTAAAGTACAGTCAATGGGCAATAAAAGCATTCTCTACACTGCCCCCCAAATATGCCCCAACTCAAGTCTTTTCCACCTCTATTGTATGTGATGTGAGCCACTATCTACTGGGAACTGGACTAAAGTCACCAACTCTTTTCACAGACCCCAACAGAAATTTATCTTATGGCAATTGTTTTTAGCGACTATTGATCTGGGACAGTTTTGAACCAATGACTTAGAAGTAAAAGGACCTGCATCCCATCACTATCCTTCTAGTTGTCTAGTAATTTTTCATTTTAACAACTCAGTAGAATGGATTATTACACATCTTCCCAGTCTGGATGCCTTAGACACCAATTCTGACAATGGAAATTGGTTTCATACGGAACCTAAAGAGAGTTATCCTATGACTTTCTGTGGAAACCAACTATACAGCACTAAGAATGTATATTTCTAAGACAGCAGTTCTTTAAGACTTGGCAATAAAGCCAGCTGTTGATCACTCATGAAATTCTCAAATAGTAGAACTTGTTGCTTCTTTTAAAAGTTGTCAATAATACTTTGTACGTATATAGCATTTATTCGTAGAATCATAGAATATCAGGGTTGGAAGGGACCTCAAGTAGTCATCTAGTCCAACCCCCTGCTCAAAGCAGGACCAATCCCCAACCCAATCTATTATTAGATTTCATTCCACAGCTTATGAGAAGCTAACTAGGAAACACCAATCAGTACAAGTGCCCTTCTATTAAAGTTTTTTCTGCTACTCTACTGATAGTACATAAATAATTTTTTTAAATGTTTCAAAATGAAAATAAGAAGAAACAATCCTTTAGTTAAATAAACAAACAAATACTTTACCTGTACAATGGCAAGCGTCGGCATAAATGTAGGGTGTCCTTTCTGCAAAGATGCCAGGACTTTCTTTGAACTCTGAATGATTTCTCTGCAACACAACAGTAACATAGTATCAACGTTTGTTACACATTTCCCTGTTACACCATGACCAGAAAGCTGTTGACATTAATTTTCCATACTATTTTAGTGACAGAATTCAGAACTACTGAATATTTAAACATGTTCAATGGTTTTCATTTTCAAAGCAATATGTATATATTAATAAGTACAGTAACATTTGGCAGCTGAGTATAGCAAAACTGAAGTAACAAATCCAGCCACAATAACTTCATTATTTAACTTGCATTTACCATTGCTCTGACATGCCCAGTCCTTTAGATTCTGCACCTCTAATTATTCCACAAGGCTTGGAAAATCCACTCACCAGTGAACAGGATACTTTATTAGCTAGAGGGGAGGGGTAACACTGACATATGCACTTTCTGCAGAGTTTGTTTCATTTCTAGTATCCCTAAAATCTAGGGGGTGGGAACGATTTTCAAATGTGATCCAAACAAGTAATCTCTTCCTGAGACTGCAGATAGCTCCAGTAGCTCTAGGGCTATCTAGCTTCCTCAAGAGGCAACAAAGTGAACTTGCTGAGATGAGACTAAGTTTCAGTGCTGCTATTCGCTGCCTGTGAGCAGCACTGAAACAAATGGAGCCTTGTCCAGTTCACTGCTGTATTAATGGGGAAATAAATCAATCACTCACTCAAAAATTAAGGAAATAAAATATATAAGCTTGTAATGAAGAAAATAAAATACATAAACATTACAAACTTTGAAGTCCAGGGGTACAAAAATTACAGTCTTTACAGGTACATTTAAGGAATACAACTTAAAATTGAGCTGGGAAAAACAAGCTCTAAAACCCCCAGAGAGCAGCAGAAATTTCCCACCTCTTTGCAGAGTTTGAAACACAAGCAATGCAACACCAAGAATTTGAAAGTGAAACTGACTATAAACAAAAGCTTCAATGATTCTTATTCTCCAAGCTGAAGGAAATATGAGTAGTAAACAGTAGTAAAGGGCAGAAGTAGAGAAGTACCTTTTAAATTCTTTCACGTTTACTAACCTACAGCATTACTAAAACATAGTAAAGGAATCAATTCACAGCCTCTGGTGTATAATGTTAATGCACAGTGGATTTTTAATACATAACTTTATACATACTGTAATTTAATACACAACTGACTTCACTGAGAGCAACACTTGGTTTTACTCTTTATGTTATTACACAGAACCCATGGAGTACGTGCAACGTGGCAGAGTTAGCTGTACTCGCGGAGCCCTCACTTAGTTTTCCCTTTCCTGATATCAGGGCACGTTGGTTTGTCAGAAGAAAGTTACGCGCCCACGAGTGTTGTGCTTGAGGCGAGGGGAGCAACGGGAGCCCACGGAGCGTGTCATGCCCAGGGGCTGCTGCGAAGTGACTCCCCCAGAAGAGGTGGCGCGGGCAGGGAGAGGAAAGCTGAACCTCCCGGAGCCGGCGGATGGCAGCACCCGCCTTGGCCTGGGGGTCCAGAGGGAGCCTCTGTCCCAACTCCGCCAAGCTCTTGCATCAGACGCAGCGGGGCGCAGGCAGGCCCGGAGCCCCCACGGGAAGCCGTAGCCCGACGACAAGCGAGAAGAGCTGCGCCGCCGCCGCGAGGCTGTCAGCGGGGGGCAGAAAAGACCCCGCGGCACCTCCCCGCCCAGCCGCGGCCCCCGGGGCACGTGGCTGCGCTGGCTCCGCTTACCCGGCCGCCGAGCCCCGCGCGCTGCAGCTCCCGCCGCCGCCAGCCTGTTGCTTCTCCCAGCGGCCCCAAGTGCTGGCCGTGCCCCGGCGGGTCGCGGGCGAGCCGGCTTGCAGCGGCGCGGGCCCCTTCCTGCCCGCTAGCGAGGCGGCGGCTCCCCGGCTTAGTCGGCAGAGCGCGGAGAACCTCATGCTGCGGCGGCGGCGGCGGCTGGAGCGGGGCGGCGTGAGGGGGCCGAGCCGGCTGAGGGCCAAGGGGAGGGACACAGCGCAGCAGCAGCTCCGGGCTCGGGCGGAGGGTGAAGCAGGAGCCGCTAGGGGCGCCCCGACTCGGCCCTTAGTCCCGCCGCAAAGGCAGAGCGGGTTCCCGTGCCGCTCGGCCAGGCTCCGCCTGCAGCCTTGGCCCCCTGGTGCTGTCGAGCCTGCCTTGCAACGCTGGGCTCGGCCTCAGGGAGAAGCCAGGGCCCCCTTCCAGCCTCACAGGAGTCAGCAGTGCGCCGCCGGCAGCCAGGGCCTCGGACCCAGAGGGCTGCTAAGTCTTGGCCCCAAGCCCGGTGTTGTGCAGCACGGCACAGCTCAAGCCCAAGCCCCAGCCCTGAGTCAGCGAGGGGCTGTATAGTGCAGTGTGGACAGCAGAGCAATACCCTGGGGCTCAGCAACCCTCAACTCAGGTTTACAATGCAGTGCAGATGTTCCAGGACAGGCTTAGAAACCTGGACTCGTATCAGCCCAGCTTCTTCCCTATAGGTTTACCCCATAGCTTTAAGTGCCATAGGCCTCAGTTTTCCCATCTTTACAATGGGTGGCACACTGCAAGCCCTCCCCCCCCCAATACACATGACTACAGTTTAAGTTGACATTGTTCCTTTAAGATTAAAAGTTTCATAAAGCAGTTTAGGGCCTGTCTCAATGGAACAACAACCTTACTCAGACTAGTCAAAGTCACATTTACCTCTGTGTAATATAATATTAATAGCCTACGTTCACCAAAGGTCACATTTGTAATGAAAACTAAATGTTGCTACCGGCTATAAATAAATGTATAATGTAAGCAAACAACCTCCAATGCTCAGGTGCATTCAGACAAAACTAGAAATATTTTATGTTTGTCCACCCACCCACCCCTGCATCATGATGTCTGGCTGTCATGGTATTACCCCACCACTATCTAGTCAATAGGCCACACAGTTTGATAAAGATCAGGCTGACACTTTGTCCTATGGTCTCATTCTTCAGAACAGCCAAGAGACCAAGAACTATCCTGGAGTCTGCTGATCCACTTTAGTTTAAATGGTACACAACCTAGGACTTGTCAGTCAGAGATGTCTTGCAGTATAGCGAATGACACTGATATGAAAACTATGGGGCACAAGAGACCTGAATGTAGAATCAACTTTAGGCTGAGCAGAGATGTGCCAGGCCTTTCATATTGTAATGGGTTGTTCTATTTTCCCATAACCAAGCAGGATAATTAAGAGGAACTTGCTCACTCTGTCAGACAGCAGGAATATTTTAGAGGGAATGAAGTGTCTCTAGGGATCTTAGGTGAGGTTTGGCAATGGTGACCCAACACTCCCTTTAGAGTAGAGCAGCAGGATTTCAGCAGAGATAACAATGTGACCATTGAGCATGGGATGTAATGAAAGAATAGGATTTTAAGGGACGAGCAGGGACTTAAGATAGGCAGGGAGAGCAATGGAAAGTCATTTACTACCTGTAGAACAGGTCTTTGAAAACCTTGCTGAAATACTCTCAGACACCAGACCCTTTTAGGTTTCAGAGGAACAGCCGTGTTAGTCTGTATTCGCAAAAAGAAAAGGAGTACTTGTGGCACCTTAGAGACTAACCAATTTATTTGAGCATGAGCTTTCGTGAGCCACAGCTCATTCATCTGATGAAGTGAGCTGTGGCTCACGAAAGCTCATGCTCAAATAAATTGGTTAGTCTCTAAGGTGCCACAAGTACTCCTTTTCTTTTTGCAGACCCTTTTAGTGTTTTCACAGGCTAACAACACTTTCACATTCACGCCTCACTGTTCTCATAGGGTGCTGTATAACATTCATTACTTCTAGACTGCAATAATTTTGTCTCTATAAAGTGGTTTGATACTATGACCATACCTTTTATGAACGTAACAGTATCTTTTAGGCAAGAAAATGATGAATAATTAATTCTGTCTTTTGTGGGCAGAACTCAGGCTGTAAAACCAAGGTGGCCTAAATGTACAGAGAGTGGGGCATGATAGCACAAACCATCCGCAAACCATGTGCTGCTGGAGAGCCTAAAGCCAGCTGGTGCAGCTGAGACAGCATTCAGGCTTGGGCTGACTGAGAGATGCCCTGAATCAGTGTTTCCGAAGAACCCTAGCTGAAATTTAATGCTGCTTTCACCTGATGGTTCACCCACATAGTTACTATCATGGTAGCTTTGCCTCCCATACCCTCTGGAAGACTCCAGAGGAGGATCAGCACAGTAATCCTGCATGTTAGGGGGCTTATTCCTTCACCCACTTACTTCCCTGGTCCTTCTCGCATGAACAGAGAGCAACAATACCCGAAGTCCAAAGGTGCAAACAATTCGATGTTTATTGGGGTGAACTTCCAGCAAGCATGATTCCAGTTTCCTTCCTTAGTATCCTCCTTCCCAGCTCTGACACCACAAAGCCTTACACCTGTGTCCCTGTTCCCATTCCTGCCCTTAGCCAAACATGATTCCAATTTTCTTACCCCCATTCCCTGTTCCCATCTCCCCCTTTAGCAAAACATGATTCCAATTTTCTTACCCCCATTCCCTGTTCCCATCTCACACACCCACATGCCTACCCCCACCCACACCCCGTCACTTCCTCATTGACTACAGATTATATAGTAAAACTTGAGTTCTGCTTAGCTATACCTTAACCAATCATTTTCCTGAAATTTAACTAACCAATCCTAACATATTGTAACATGATTATGTAACCAATTATATCCCACCACCTCAATTAGTTTACACCCAGCAAAATTAATTATACAGCAGACAGGAACAATCACAGAACCAGACAGAGATTATACAGACAAACAACAGCTGTAGCTCACGAAAGCTCATGCTCAAATAAATTGGTTAGTCTCTAAGGTGCCACAAGTACTCCTTTTCTTTTTGCGAATACAGACTAACACGGCTGTTCCTCTAAAACAGCAAAGTGGGAACTATAATGACAAAACAATACAGAAGTGAGGATTTCACATCCCAGCTATTGATAAGTGAGTTCTTGCCAGACAGGATGCTATCAAACTAAGTTTCCTTTTACATTTTCTAGGCACTTCCCTTTCTCTGGAGGTGATAGGAATACAATCCTGTCCTGATAGTGCCTAACAGCCCAATAGCACCTTATTTCAATGTGACTAGTTTGGAATGTGAGGATGTGACCGGTCGCTTCCCAGCTTATGGCTGCCTCTGCTGCTTAGCCAAAGGCCTGAGCCTAAGCACAGCGCCACAAACTGTCACAGTAAGAGAAGGCCCTTACACTGGCAGACAGTGGTTTTGATTCTTTCTTTCTTTTATACCTCTATCACTAGCCAAGTGATAAGAATACACCTAAATTCTTAGAGTATAGGCCTTTACAGACAGGCCTGAATATCTATATCCTAACACTGCACAGCTACTGTAGTCCCATTCTGAAGCCAGCAGGAGTAATTTGAGCCCTTTGTCTGAACATATGAATGCTTTGTATCCTTCTTTCTTCCAAGAACAGGTAATGTGAGTGACTCTAAAACTTCACTATGTAAATCTAGGAATAGAAAGAGGAGGTTACTTACCTGTAACTGGAGGTTCTTCGAGATGCGTGGTCCCTATCTGTGTGCAACTGTGGGTTACGTATGCGCACCATGCGCCCTAAGGTGAAGAATTTGAAAGTAGTGTCTGTTTCTCATGTGCTCTGGCTCATCTTGTGCTTCTGAGGTGATAAAGGGTGGGCGGGCTAACTGCCTCTCCAGTTCATTCTCCACCACGAATCAGAGAATATCTGAAGCAGAGGGGAAGGAGGGTAGGTTGTGGAATAAAGATAGGGACCACTCATCTTGAAGAACCTCCAGTTTCAGGTAATTAACCTCCTCCTCCTCTTCTTCAAGTGATGGTCTCTATTGTATTCCATTGGGGGTGTTTGACAAGTAGTACCTACATAGGTGGAGGGTGCGAGGATGAGAATGGTAGGGTTGAGAAGAGAACTGCCTTCCCAAAGAAGGCATCAGTAGCTGAGTCTTGCACCAGGGTGTAATGTCTTGCAAATGTGTGGACAGAAAAGTGGCCACTTTACAGATGTCTAGAAGGGGTATGTCCTGAAGAGACAGTACAGTTGCAGCTTGGGCTCTCATGGAGTGAGCTGATACCCCTGGAGGGGGAGGAGGAGAGGTTCGAGAGTGGATAGAGTAGAATGCAACCAGATATGTTTGGAAATTCTCTGGGTGGAGATGGTGTATCCTTTTACTCTCTCCGCTATAGAGCAAACAGCCTTGGGAACTTTCTGAATGGTTTTGTTCTCTGCAGGTAAAAGGCCAAGGCTCATCAAACATCTAGGGAGCGAAACCTGTTCTTCAATAGATGCGTGCGGTTTCAGGAAGAATACAGGTAAGAATGGATTGATACAGGTGAAATTCTGAAACCATATTAGGCATAAATTTGGGGTGTAGGTGTAAAGAAACTATATATTTGTGAAATAGCATATGGAAGGTCTGCCATCATTGCACCAAGTTCACCAACTCTCCTCGACAATGGGATGGCTGCAAGAAAGGCGACCTTCATGGAGAAGAGGCACATGGAGCAAGTCCCCTAAGGGTCCAAAGAGGGGTGGGCGTGTCAGAACCGAAAGAATGAGAATGAAGTCTTATTGGAGTGTTATCTTTCAAGGAGGTGGGAAAGTTCTTATCAGGCCTTTCCATAATTGCGTGGTTAGTGGGTGTGCAAAAATAGAGTAGCCCTCCATAGAGGGATGGAATGCACTGATAGCCATCAAGTGGACTGACAGGGAACTGAGGGATAGACCCAATGTTTTCAAAGGGGTGGAGGGAGGGAAGAGATGCTGAAGCCACTGTTTCATCTGGTGATGATGATGACAGCGTGGTAGTACTCCTACTCCTCTTCTATCGGATTCGAAGGTAAATTGATCGTTCCCTCGAAAGGACCGCAGGTGGTAACTCCCTAGCATATCAGATAGATTCCAAAGGGGGATATTTGTGCCTATGGCCACTACGTGGGGTCTAAAGGTGGTGGCAGTGGTCCCCATGGCATGGGGTACCAATCACTCCAAGCCAGGTGAGGTAGTGGTTGGTCCCAGGGTCGTGTGGGTCTCCTGGGGAATG